TAGGCTGCCAAGAGGTCAGAGGAAAACTCGCCACCTCTGTCAGAGTGCAGACGTAGGACAGGAAAGTCTGACTGGAACCGCTGGCGGAGCTGGAGACGAGCAGCGCGGATCCAGGGGATCAAGACATCAGGGACCTCACCCTTGGTACGCAAGGGGAAGACCGTGGTGTAGCGCGTGTAGTCATCGACGACCAGCAGAAAGTACCGCTCGTGGCCCTGTCCCCGGACGCGGGCGGGGCCCCGCACGTCCAGGTGGAGAGTCTGCAGGGAGCCTCTGTGGGAGGGAACGAGGAGGAGTGAGGAGCGGCGCGCTGCCGCCCCTCGACACAGGGAAGACAGGGAGGAGCAGGCGAGGGTGGCAGGGGAGGGAGAACTCTGGGAAGACCAGAGACAAGGTACCTGGAGTGCATGCCACAAAGGCGCTGCACTGACGGGTGACCAAGGCGGTGGTGCCAGAAGACAGTCCTCTGCGACAGGGAGCGACACGAGCAGGGGGCCGACAGCTGACCTGACGCAGACGCAGACGCAGCTACCTGAGGGGACTCAGTGGTCAGTGTGTACAAGTCCGACCCCGACTGCCGAGTGAAGGTAGCCAGGTGACGACCCGTCCGGGAACACGTGCAGTGCGTCACACGCTCGTAGGCCAGGGTGAATTGGTGAACACCCGCGTCCTGGAGCGCGGACCCCGCCACCAAGTTCGTAGAGAACGAGGGGAGGTAGAGGCTCGACAGCGTGCCAGACGGGACAGCAGGTTAAGGGAGGGCAGTGGTGGAGGTCGCAAGGACCGGACCCCCTAAGGGATCAGCCAGGGAGACAGCAACCGGTCTAGGAAGCTGCTCGAGGGCAGTGCGGTCGCGAAAGAAACAGCGGGAAGCACTTGAGTCCAGTGTGAAGGTGTGTAGTGCCTCAGTAGGTGCGGTACCAGCAGACGCAGACGCATTAGCACCTAGGGCAGCAGCCTCACCAGGACCTAGAGGAGCAGACGCGCTAGCACCTAGAGCTGCAGCCTCATTGGTCCCAATTCCCAGGTCGGGCGGTACACTCAGGTAATAGTCACCCTCAACACTAACAGTCAATGCATACATAGCAGCAAGGATAGCATCATAGTCAAGAGCAAAGATTTCAATTCCCTTCTTAAGCAGATCAGCCCAGCGGGGCAGCTCAGAGGCGTCGGGAAACTGCTCGCGCCAGGCGTCGTCGAGGCGAAAGAAACAGCGCTGTGCCGTGTGAAACCTCGTACAGGTCTGGCCAGTGCGGTCACCTGTGCGGATGACGTACGGGCAGGCACCCCCACCCCCAGACCCCCCACGCTGAGAGTACCACTCACGGAGCTGCTGGGGCGAGGGAGTCTCACCGGGACGCTGCTGCTGCTGCCTTTAGCCACCGCCGAACCCCCCACACTGTACGGCTCCACCGCGCCCGCCACCCGCTCCACCGCCGCCACCACTGCCACCACCGCCCCCACCACCTCCACCACCGCCGCCGCCACCACCCCCTGTGCCGCCACCGACCCCCCCACCACCCGCGCCACTCCCACCTCCGCCACCACCCCCGCCCACCCCACCCCCTCCATCGCCGCCGCCCCCACCTCCACCTCCACCACCCTTGCCCTCCTTGCCCCTGCCGCCCTTGCGCCTCCCACTAGGAGCAGACGCAGCCCCGAACCCCTCAGCTCCGAGGTAGTCGACAGCAGCAGCAGATGCAATGGAGGGGAGGAGGGGGGAGGGGGAGCACCCCTCAAAGAAGGGGGTGCGTGGGTCACCACAAGAAGCACCTACAGCTACAATCCTCTTCTCAGCTGCTAGGAGTTCCTTCTCGAGGAGGTCGACATTGAGGTCAGTGGGGTAGAGGGTGAGAAACTGGTCCCTGACAGTGCGAAGGGAGGTGGGTGACAAGGTGGTACAGTGTGAGGTACATCGGGGGGGGGGGGGGGGGGGTCTTGGCGAGAAAATCGGGGGGGAGTGCGGCACGGTAGCGGAGGTCACTGGTACGGAGGTGGGTGATAAGGTCAGCTACAGTGGCAAAGGCGGACATGTCGGGGAAGAGGTAGGGCAGTGAGAGACGGCCTATAGCAGCAGTGGCAGGGGAGGAGTAGCGCGCGACTACTGCGTCGTATAGCTCCTTAGTGGTCTTATGCTGTCCGAAGTGCTCGCGCTCATCTAACGGCAGGTGGCTGCGAACGGCTAGGCGAGCGTGGGCATCACGGGTCTGCCACAGGGAGCGAGCAGTACTGTCAGCAGTAGCGGGAGGTGCGGGAGCAGCGCCTGACGTGTGGTCATACAGGGAGACATCGTCCTTGGGAGTGATTTGGAGGAACAGGTGGAGGTCATCTAACCAAACCTCAAACTTAATCAGGCGGCCCTCAGCGTCAAAGGTGAGAATAGAGGGATTGGCCATAGTGGCAGTAGGAATAGTAGCAGTAGCAGCAGGAGTAGTATCAGTTGCAGCTGAAGCAGTAGTACGGTAGGAACAGGAACATGAGTCGCTGCAGGTGGGGCACAGTAGGGCAGCGCGGCTCGGTTCGGGCGGCGCAGCTCGGTTCGGGCGGCGCGGCTTGGTTCGGGCGGCACGGCTCGGTTCGGGCGGCGCGGCTCTGTTCGGGCGGCGCGGCTCGGCTCGGGCTGGGCTACGCGGCGGTGCGCGACTGGGGGCGTGCGCGTGGGCGGCTGTAGCGGGCGGGCCGTGGCTGCGCGTGGGCCTAACTAGCGCGCGGGCGGCGGCCTAGAGAGGGCGTCGCGGCGGCCTACGGGCGTGGCTGCGACGCTCTAGGCGGCGGTCGACGGGCGGCTAGGGGCTGCTCGTGGGCGGCGCTAGTCGCACGGGCGGCTAGGGGTCGGGGTGCGCTCAGAAAAGGGGCCGCGCGCGGGCGGCTAGCGGGCTACGCGGGCAAAAAACGGGCCGCGCGAGCGACTAGCGGGCGACGCGGCCGAAAAAAAACTGGGGCGCTCGAGGGCGCACTAGGCGTGAGGCGCACGAGGGCGCGATTAGGAGAAGGCGCACGAGGGTGCAACTAGCGGAACGATGGGCCCTTAGCTAAGCGGTCCTAGGGCTAGGACCTACGCTCTTAATACCATGTCAGAATGAACAAGTGATTGAACTATGAACATTGGGTGATACAAGTAGCAAACCCTAGAATGATATACCCCGTAAAGGCTAGCCCGCTATAGCCTACACAACAAGAATTTATATAATGTTTGACACAGCAGGGTGTGACGCGCGGGGCAGTAGGGCGCGATGCGCGGGCTGCAGCAGGGCGCGACATGCGGGGCAGCAGGGCGCGATGCGCGGGGCGGACGTAGGGCGCGACACGCAAGGCAGCAGGGCACGACGCGCAAGGCAGCAAGGCGCGACGTGCGGGCTGCAGCAGGACCCGGGGCAAGGCAGGGCGCGCGCGGGGCAGCGCGACGCAAGGTAGGGCAGGGCGTGCGCAAGGCAGCGCGACGCAAGGCAGAGCAGGGCGTGCGCGGGGCAGCGGGACGCAAGGCAGGGCAGGGCGTGCGAGGGGCAGCGCGACGCAAGGCAGGGCAGGGCGTGCGCGGGGCAGCGCAACGCAAGGCAGGGCAGGGCGTGCGCGGGGCAGCGCGACGCAAGGCAGGGCAGGGCAGGACGCGCGTTGTCGGCGCAACGCAGGGCAGGGCATGGGGTAACGCGGTAATCGCAGTCGGTCACTAAGTAATGGTGGGCCCGAAAAAAAAACGGTCCTGCTCTGATACCATGTCAGAAATTAACGAGCAGGAATGATTTCATTGACATCAAAATGAGTGCAAGTATAACCCTTATTGGGTTGTACCCCATAAAGGCTATCTCACTACAGCCTACACAACACAAGTAGCATTATAGTTTGACAGTACTTAACTGTATATATAAGTCTACATGATTGGGACTGCGTGATGCTTTCAACCTCAACTTGGAACAAATACGGCGGTTGACCTTGTTGCACCTCAATGAAAATGCTTTCCATCCCTGTACCCCCTTACCATCTGAGTCTGCTTGCACGCAGTCCTTAGGGACAGCCTGCTACTACTCTGTAGACTGATATGCAGCGTGTGTGCCTGACCAGCTCTACAGTAGTGGCACTTCATACGATGAATGGGTATGGTTGGCTTCGATGGAGTATGAGACTACCACAGTAGTTGAAACAGACTTAAAAAAACCCTGTAAAGCACAACACCTACAGCTCTACAAACGTTTCTCAAGCAAACATCCCTAGCTAAAGTGCACTGGTTGGTACAAACACACTACTGGGACTCTATCTAGAGAAAGAGAGAAGGGGTCTTGTTGACTAGTAAGGAGAAGAAGAGGTCTTATTCAATGGAGGAGAGAAACCATTCAACAAGTTGATGTTGTTTTAAACATGACTAAGTCAGTGCGGCCATCCCAAGCTGTCCTACCTACACATAATTGAGCCGCCTGTAACATGCTGTTGGCCCCTGGTCAATGGTAACAATGGGAGGACAAACAGGATAAGATGAGTCACAAGATTTCACCTATAATGATTGGTGAAGAAAGGGAAGAGGAGAAGATGTGCAGGCGTGCAAGAGGAGAACGGCCAATCACTCACAGTGCAGGTGGGTGCAGGTGGGTGCAGGTGGGTGCAGGTGGGTGCAGGTGGGTGCAGGTGGGTGCAAGTGGGTGCAGGTGGGTGCAGGTGGGTGCAGGTGGGTGCAGGTGGGTGCAGGTGGGTGCAGGTGGGTGCAGGTGGGTGCAGGTGGAACAGGTTCAATCACTTACGATATAGCACGTCCCCTCAAAAGGTCCTGAGATGCTTGCTCGAGTGGCCACTCTTCGTTGTAAGCTTTGCCTTGACAGTTGTTTGAATTGTAGAACTTAATATTGCTGCAAGCGGGAGCATCACCAATGTTGTCCATGCCATGTATTATTGTGACCAGGCCAAGCGCTTTTTCCGGGATCGGAGTGCACACATTCAGCCTGAGGCGGAAGGTGTAGGCAAACGTGTCGTTCATGACGTATGTGTAGCTGTAGGAAGAGACAGTGGGATGTCTACCTGTGATAAATGTGATAAAGAGGGGCACAAAGGAAGGAGTGAGAGCATTGTTGGAATCACGTTTGAGAATTCTCAGAAATTAGTTCAACGTATGTGTAGCTGTAGGAAGAGACAGTGAGATGTCTATTTGTGAAAAAGAGGGACACAAAGGAAGGACTCAGTGTGTTGATTGTCACCAGCACAAAGGAAGGACGTTCAAACACTCCTACATGCATGCCACATTCCCACGAGCATTCGACCAACTTGGCAGAGTGAGGAAGGTGAAGCAAAGAGTGGGGTGAGTGGGATTGGGGAGAATGGGGCGGGTGGGTTTTGAGAATTCTCAAAAACCAGATTGGGGAGAATGGGGCGGGTGGGGAGAGAATGCATCAACGAGGCTCACTCTGAACACAGAATTGAAGAAGGGTTTTGAGACGTCTCAAAACCCTTCTTCAATCACGTGGGGAGAGAATGCATCAACGAGGCTCACCCTGAACACAGTCGGTTGGGGTTTTTGAGACGCCTCATAAGAACTTCAATATCACAAGAGCATGCATGAAGGAAGCTCACCCTGAACACAGTCGGTTGAGGTTATCCCATAGCCATCGGGGCAGGAACAGTACGGAACTGACTACATTGGATCAGGAGTAAATGCAGGTAGAGTCTGGAGTAATAGCTTAGATTTGCAGGTGGCTCCAGAGGGACAGGCGCCACAGAGTGAGGCTGAGGGGTGGGGATGGGTGCAGTGCGGTATGTGAGTAAATGCAAGGGGGGGGTTGAGGTTTAGAGGGCAGGCGCCACACAGAGAGGCTGAAGAACGCAGGAAGCACGGGAGAGGGAATGGAAGGGGTGAGGGATGGGCGTGGTTGTGAATCCACTCATTGAACAGAGCAGGAAAGAGCACTCATCCCTGGCAGACCAGGAAAGAACCCATATCACTAGCAGAGCAGGAAAGAACTCACCCCACTGGCAGGCAGAGCAGGAAAGAAGTCACCTCACTGGCAGGCAGAGCAGGAAAGAACTCACCTCACTGGCAGACAGAGCCGGAAAATACTTACGCCACTGGCAGTAGCGAACTCCGTTCTGATCCACCACACATTTGCTGCCAGGCTGACAGGCCAGCGCCGCACAGGCAGGATCTGCAGCAGAGGAGCGAAGAAAAGGGCAACAGGTGAAGGTATGAATGCTTATGCTGATGCTTATGACGTCATAAGGGCATCGGAATGACACAGGCAGTGTCATCCCTGACAGTGGCAAAGGGGCATTGAAATGACAGCAGCAGTGTGCCTCTGACTGCGGCAAAGGGGCATTGAAATGACAGCAGCAGTGTGCATCTAACTGCGGCAAAGGGGCATTGAAATGACAGCAGCAGTGTGCCTCTGACTGCGGCAAAGGGGCATTGAAATGACAGCAGCAGTGTGCCTCTGACAGCGGCAAGGGTGCGGCAAGAGACGCTGCCCTTCAGAGAAAGGCTGTGTAAATCACGCCCTTCATTATCACGCCCTTCAGAATCACGCCCTTCAGAATCACGCCCTTCAGAATCACGCCCTTTAGAATCACGCCCTTCAGAATCACGCCCTTCAGAATCACGCCCTTCAGAATCACGCCCTTCAGAATCACGCCCTTCAGAATCATGCCCTTCAGAATCACGCCCTTCAGAATCACGCCCTTCAGAATCACGCCCTTCAGAATCACGCCCTTCAGAATCACGCCCTTCAGAATCACGCCCTTCAAAATCACACCCTACAAAATCACACCCTTCAGAATCACGCCCTTCTAAATCACACCCTTCTAAATCACACCCTTCAGAATCACACCCCTCAGAATCACACCCCTCAGAATGACACCCCTCAGAATGTCACCCCTCAAAATGACACCCCTGACAATCACACCCTTCAGAATCACACCCTTCAGAATCACACCCTTCAGAATCACATCCTTCAGAATCACGCCCTTCAGAATCACACCCTTTAGAATCACACCCTTCAGAATCACGCCCTTCAGAATCACGTCCTTCAGAATCACGCCCTTCACGTCCACTGAACGTACCAGTTGTGCTGCCGGTGGTGGTGGTCTCTAGTGCAATCCGTGCATTGACCTTCCTGCTTCCTGTCTCCGCCTCTACGCCTTCCCCATACGCGCCTTTCCGCATCATGGTCCGCAGCAGGCTACGGTGAGTCATGATGCTTCTCACTGAGTCGTCGCCATGCGCTGCCTTCATCATCTGAACTGCTGCAGAGGACACAGGAGAGGGTGTGCAGGGAGGAGAACAGAGAAAAGCTATGAGAGAGCAGATATGAGAGAGCAGATATGAGGGAGCAGATATGAGAGAGCCGATATGAGAGAGCAGATATGAGAGAGCAGATATGAGGGAGTAGATATGAGAGAGCAGATATGACAGAGCAGATATGAGAGAGCAGATATGAGAGAGCAGATATGAGAGAGCGGATATGAGAGAGCAGATATGAGGGAGCAGATATGGGGGAGCAGATATGAGAGAGCAGATATGAGAGAGCAGATATGAGAGAGCAGATATGAGGGAGTAGATATGAGAGAGAAGATATGAGAGAGCAGATATGAGAGAGCAGATATGAGAGAGCAGATATGAGAGAGCAGATATGAGAGAGCAGATATGAGGGAGTAGATATGAGAGAGCAGATATGAGGGAGCAGATATGAGAGAGCAGATATGAGAGAGTAGATATGAGAGAGAAGATATGAGAGAGCAGATATGAGAGAGCAGATATGAGAGAGCAGATATGAGAGAGCAGATATGAGAGAGCAGAGATGAGAGAGTAGATATGAGGGAGCAGATATGAGAGAGCAGATATGAGAGAGTAGATATGAGGGAGCAGATATGAGAGAGCAGATATGAGAGAGCAGAGATGAGAGAGTAGATATGAGGGAGCAGATATGAGAGAGCAGATATGAGGGAGCAGATATGAGAGAGCAGATATGAGAGAGCAGATATGAGAGAGCAGATATGAGAGAGCAGATATGAGCGAGCAGATATGAGAGAACAGATATGAGAGAGCAGATATGAGAGAGCAGATATGAGAGAGCAGATATGAGAGAGCAGATATGAGAGAGCAGATATGAGAGAGCAGATATGAGAGAGCAGATATGAGGGAGTAGATATGAGGGAGCAGATATGAGAGAGCAGATATGAGAGAGCAGATATGAGAGAGCAGATATGAGAGAGCAGATATGAGAGAGCAGATATGAGAGAGCAGATATGAGAGAGCAGATACGAGAGAGCAGATATGAGAGAGCAGATATGCGAGAGCAGATATGAGAGAGCAGAGAGGGAAGCGAAAAGAGAATCGAGCTGAAGAGGTGGAAAACGAGGCGAGCAGGAAGGAGGGAGCAGGGGGACTGCATGAACCCAATTCAAGGCTTACGAAATCAAGTCAAGTGCTGGCCACAAGCCAAAGATACTGCAGCAATGAGAGCAGCGGACTGACCGCAGATGAGCGCAAAGGCGAGCAGCAGGAGTCCGGCAGGAAAGGCGCGCATCGACCCCATGATGATGACGTGGGATTCGCGGCGTGGGAGAGGCGGGCGGAAGGTCGGCGGAAGAGGCGCGAGAAGCACAGCAACAATGGCGCAAAAGAGGCGGAACAGAGGCGCAATAGAGGCGAAAGAGAGACGCAGCAGACGCGCTGTGTGCTGTGCGAGTCACGGGTGGAAGAATAACAGCTTGCAAGTTCCAAGTTGGGGACTGTCACTGTGTGCATGAACAGCACGGCGCTGATCTGGTATTTGCTATATACTGCGAGTGACGAGCGCGATTCAGCATGACAGTCCTCAAGATATCGTCATCGTGATTATTATTGATACTATTACGGATACCTTCGAGTTTCCGCAAGGTATCCGTGTGATGTGACTACGGAGACCGCGAGACATGAGACGACTTTTGAGGCGCCTCAAAAGTCGTGTGATGTGACTACGGAGACCTTGCGCCACATATAATGCAGTGTTTGGCCTCTGCGAGTCTACTTATATGCAGTAGACTCAAAAGTAGACCCCCGCCAACGTTTCCGTGACGATTGCGCCCCATATAATGCAAGGACGATTATGGGAGCCGCGATATGCGTTGGTATGGCTTCCCTTGAGTGATTACTCGAATGCAAAGACGAAATCGCTCTGGATTTTGAGAAACGCGATGCGTGCGACGACAGTGATTGGCGGAGCGTCTATCATAGTGAATCGCACACATGCTAACAAGTGTTCTTTCCGGTTCGTCGCTTCTTCCCTAGCGACTTCCACTTCGGCTCGGCAGTGAAAAATGCGCGATTAGGCGAAATTCTCATGAGATCAGCTGCTGCATTATATATGTAAAGCCTAGGGTGTTAGCTTTCTGTTGGTCGGCTGGGTGTTTGGATGACGCGTTTCGTGGATCTGGGGTACCCCTAAGCACGCATACCTCTTTCGATTTTGCACGATCGATCCTGCGCAGGGTCGAAACGTCACGCGGAGGTTCGGAACGTTCAGAATGCAACGAGCAAACATTTCAGTGCGGGCGACGATCGGTCTCGCACGATCGATCGTTCAAAAATGAAGAGGCGACGCGTCCTAAACTTAGACAGACATATAATGCAGCTGTTCGTCTCGAGAAAAAAATCTCGTTGTCGCATATCGCCCCACTGCCGAACCTGATTGGAAAGCTCTTGTGCGATTGATGTGTGATTCGTGAACGATAGTGCATCACGACACGCCTCTCCAATAATGTCGTTCTTGCGACTCACCCGACTCAAGCACCACGTGACCTATGGACACCCCGCCAATCGCTGCCGTCGCTCGCATTGCTTTCCCAAAAATGATAGCCAAGCCCTCAGTGTTGCATACCGCCGCCGCGCTCCTGTAATTATACGAGACTCGCGCTTCGAAATTATAGGTGACTCATGGTTCCACAGATACCAGCGCGCTCTGTAATAATATGATGTGACTTACTGTAGCCTACGCGCACCTAAAATCACATGAGGCACTTTCTCGTGGCGCCTAAGGCGCCGCGGCTGCCATGCTGAATCGCGCTTGTAGTAAGCTCGCAATAGATAACAGCCCAGCAGTCCCATTTCCAACTTGGAAAGCAACACCTTTCTTCCCATCGTGAGAGCACAACTTTCGTCTGCCTTGTCGCGCCTCTGTTTGCGCCTCTGTTTGCGCCTCTCTCGCCGTCCCTTCCGCCGCCATTCCCGCAGGACCCCCGCCGTCATCATCATGGGGTCGATGCGCGCCTCTCCTGCCGGACTCCTGCTGCTCGCCCTTGCGCTCATCACCGGTCAGTCCGCTGCTCTCTCATGGCCTTCTCTCACATTCCTTTGATTTGTTCGCCTTTCTCCCTAGCTTTTGAGTAGAATCAAAAGCCATCCCTTGCCCGCAGGCGGTCACTCCCGCTGCTCTCTCATTCAAGGAAGTTCCTTTGATTCCTAAGCCTTTTTTTCCTGTTCTCTCCGCCTCTCCTGCTCGCTTCGTTTTCCACGCCCTCAGACTCTTCTTTCCCCCCTCTGCTCTCATATATCTACTCTCTCATATCTGCAGCAGTTACGATGATAACGGCAGCTCATGGCGATGACTCAGTGAAACGCATCATCACTCACCGTAGCATGCTGCGGACCATGATGCGGAAAGGCGCGTATGGGGAAGGCGCAGAGGCGGAGACAGCAAGCAGGAAGGGCAATGCGCGGATTGCGCTAGAGACCACCACCACCACCAGCACTGGCAGCACCCCTGCTGACAGCCCTGCTGACAGCACCAGCACCACCACCGGTGGCGGCACTAGCAGCACCAGCACTGGCAGCACCAGCACCGGCAGCACCACTGGCAGCACCAGCACTGGCAGCACCACTGGCAGCACCAGTGGTAAGTTCAGAGGGTGTGATTGTGAAGGGCGTGATTCACTCTGCTTTCAGAGGGGCGATTTCTCTTTTGGCGTGTCTCAGTCTACCGCGCCGTCTTGCATTTGTCTGCCATACCACATTCTCAGTACCTTGCCGTCTCTGCCCTGACTTTTGAGTCTCTGCCCTGACTTTTGAGTCTCTGCCCTGACTTTTGAGTCTCTGCCCTGACTTTTGAGTCTCTGCCCTGACTTTTGAGTCTCTGCCCTGACTTTTGAGTCTCTGCCCTGACTTTTGAGTCTCTGCCCTGACTTTTGAGTCTCTGCCCTGACTTTTGAGTCTCTGCCCTGACTTTTGAGTCTCTGCCCTGACTTTTGAGTCTCTGCCCTGACTTTTGAGTCTCTGCCCTGACTTTTGAGTCGACTCAAAAGTCACCTAGCAAACATCGTCTTGCCTAGTTTACGACGTTCCGTCGTTCTGATGCCCTTATGGTGCGTGAAAGCATTCATATCTTCATCTGTTGCCCTTTTCTCTTCACTTCAGTTGCTGCAGATCCTGCCTGTGCGGGGTTGGGCTGTGAGCCGGATGGCACCTGTGAGGAGGATCAAAACGGAGGGCGCTACTGCAAGTGGGGTGAGTGAGAGTTTAGCTCCTTTGCTTCACGCTTACACGCAGCCCTCTCTCCTCTGTTCCCTGCATCGACGCTGCCTATGCGGCGTTGGGCTGTGAGCCAGATGGCTAATGTTTGGTGGGTCAAGATGGAACGCGTTGCTGCCAGTGGGGTGAGTGAGCGTGGCGTTGCTGCCAGTGGGGTGAGTGAGCATGGCGTTGCTGCCAGTGGGGTGAGTGAGCATGGCGTTGCTGCCAGTGGGGTGAGTGAGCATGGCGTTGCTGCCAGTGACATGAGTTGTTTTCTGCTCTGCAAGGGAGGTGGTGCCAGAAAGGCGAGTTCTTTCCACACAGGCAGTGGTCAAGGGAGTTGCAAGGGAGGTGATTGCGGTGGTTAAGGGAGTTGCAAGAGAGGTGGTTACTTCTTTCCTTCTCTGCCATGCGGTTAGGATGGAGGTTCATGGACGCTCCCACTTTCCTACCCCCTCAAGGCATGCATTCGTACATGTTGTATGAGGATGGAGGTTCCTGGATTCCACACATGCAGCGAGGAGATAACTCCATTCTCACTGCATGGTGAGGAGATAACCACCACAGGAAGGTTCCTTTTGGGGTTATGGATGACACCTCAGGGCATTTCCGTCACCACTTTCTGTCACCTCAGGGGCATTTTCGTCACCTCAGGGGCATTTTCGTCACCTCAGGGGCATTTTCGTCACCTCAGGGGCATTTTCGTCACCTCAGGGGCATTTTCGTCACCTCAGGGGCATTTTCGTCACCTCAGGGGCATTTTCGTCACCTCAGGGGCATTTTCGTCACCTCAGGGGCATTTTCGTCACCTCAGGGGCATTTTCGTCACCTCAGGGGCATTTTCGTCACCTCAGGGGCATTTTCGTCACCTCAGGGGCATTTTCGTCACCTCAGGGGCATTTTCGTCACCTCAGGGGCATTTTCGTCACCTCAGGGGCATTTTCGTCACCTCAGGGGCATTTTCGTCACCTCAGGGGCATTTTCGTCACCTCAGGGGCATTTTCGTCACCTCAGGGGCATTTTCGTCACTTTTGAGGTTCCTGGATTCCACACACATGCGATGACAGCTCCACCACCACAGGAAGGTTCCTTTTGAGGCTCTCGAAAATAGAGCATCGGAATGACTGCTCCAGTGTGTGCCTTTTAAGTCGGGGTTCCTTAAAAGGCACACACTGCAGCAGTCATTCCGATGCTCTATTTCCGATCCCTCTTCCTTACTTCTTCCCTCTTCCTTGCTTCTTCCCTCTTCCTTGCTTCTGCCTCTACCTTGTTTATCCCCTCTTCCTTCCCCTCTGCCTTGCTTCCCCCTCTGCCTTGCTTCCCCCTCTGCCTTGCTTCCCCCTCTGCCTTGCTTCCCCCTCTGCCTTGCTTCCCCCTCTGCCTTTCTACCTGCTTCACTGCTACTTCCCTCTCCCGCGCATCTCCCTTGCTTGCCTTGCTGTGCCCTTCAGACTCACCCTGAGTCTCTCCTTAAGAGTATAACTTTTGAAGGTTCTCGGGAAAAAAAAAAAAACAAATCTCAAAAGTGATTTCCATACTCTCCCGCGCTTCTTTCGCGCACCTCCACCACCCCCCCTCAGACTCACCCTGTGGCGCCTGCCCCTCTGGAGCCCCAATCTCCCACTAACATTGCACTCACATACTGCACTGCACCCATCCCTACCCCTCAGACTCACCCTGTGGCGCCTGTCCCACTGGAGCCACCTGCAAGACCGTGCCTGCAGCAAGCAACAGTTCGGTGCCGGTGCCTTACTGCGCGTGCCCTGTAGGCTATGGGATGACCCCGACTGACTGTGTTCAGGGTGAGATTTTCTTTCTTTTATGGATTCTTGCTCTAATCTTCTGACCCTCTCCTCTCCCCCACTCATCCCACTCTTATCTTCACCTTTCTTGCTGTCCCATGTAAGAATGTAGGAATATGTAAAGGTGCAAGCAAACATCACACTGAGTCCTTTTTTGTTCCACTCATTCTCAGGTGTAGAATCAACGGTCTCTTCCAGCGGAATGACCATCATCGGGAATCGAACAGCCCAGGACAAGGATTCCCGG